TGTGGGTCGCAAGACGCCCGCCACTTCTTCGGCGACTTCATCGTCTAGCGCCGGACAAATGGATTCAGCCGCTGTGACAACGAAGTCGGGCTCAGGCGATGGCACTGCGGTCACTCGTACCGTTCCTAGCCCGCTAACGAGCGCCAAGGTAGGGTTTACGCCAAGTCTCCTGCCTCCTTCCGCAGATCCTGCACTGAAAGACATCCCTCTAGGGACATTCAAGACAAACACGGGGCTGCCAGTATCGACGGCGGGCTATCTTGGCGGGTACCCCGGAACACACTTCCCCATGGATGTGATGGCGAATAGCCTCATGTCACCGCACCATCAGCACCTGAAGCCCGGCCTCAACCCGTACATCGGCTACGCGCGAATGAAAACCCCATCTGGGACAGACACGCTTGTTCCAGTTTGCCGCGATCCTTTTTGCAACAGTTGTCAGCTGAGCTCGCACCTCCTGGCTGCGTCTGGTGCCGCAGCCGCCGCTGCTGCTTCGGGTGGCAAGACGCAGGGCTCAGGAGCGTCCACGGGTGCCTGTCCTGGAGGGTGCGCCCAGTGCGACCACGCCAGCGCTGCGGCAGCGGGCAAGCCCGGCGCCTTCCTGGCAGGTCACCACAACCCGGCTGCGGCCGCAGCTTATGCTCATGCTCAGCTGGCTGCCCTCGCAGCCGCCTCCCACCTCCCGTACGTGTGCAGCTGGATCGCGGGAGACGCGGCCTATTGCGGAAAACGCTTCTCGAACTCGGAGGAACTGTTGCAGCACCTGCGGACCCACACCAACCTCACCTCCTCGGCCTCTGACGCCAGTGCTGCGGCACTGTCACTCCTGAGCCCTCCAGGGCTTACGCCATCTCACCCGCTTTTTCACCGAACTTACCCCACTCCGCCGCTCAGTCCACTAGCCACGGCCAGGTATCACCCTTACAGCAAGCCTCCACTGCTACCACCGTCGCTTTCGGCCTCGTCCTTAGGATTTCCTCTTCACCCGCATCCTGGAATACCCCCCTACTTCTCACCATACTCTCTGTACGGGCAGCGGTTAGGCGCCACGTCTGGCATGCATCCATGAGCATTGGCGTCCGTGCTCGAACTCCTTCGGGCAGAGAAAAACTTCACCGCATGATAAGCTAGTGCTCACTTGAGTGTAGAGAAAACACGTCTTGTTTGATTTCTAAGGAAGAGACAGTCAAATATACATGCAAGGTAAATTATTCATCTCGTCTCACTCTAATATATGGCTGGAGATGCCTGTGACTTGTCAGAGACGGGTTAGAAACGGAAAACATTTTTTTAATGCTAATGTACATAAATTAGTAATGTTGCATGAATGGTGGCAAAGTATGTGTACTGTACATTATTTATGTTTGATAAAGAGAGAAAGTTGGGATGTACAGGAAACAAAAAAATGTGCGCAAAATAGTGATATTCAGATTTTCTTTTGTACAGGTGGCATATGTTACATAATTACGTACTCTTAAGATTATAAAAACATACCAACAGCTGGCTACAACAGTGAGATGCATAAAGTAGGGACCAGATTGCTTGTTAGCCGAGTTCCCTAGTACTTTGGATAGTTGCACTAGGCACGGCCTGGTCGGTGCACGGAACGGCCTGGTAGAACGGACAAAAAAATCGTGAAGGTGCGCGCGCAGTGCTTATCACCTAGCTCTTCACCCCCGCGTCAAGAACTCGTAAGTAATCTGGTCCCTACTATACTTTGTACGGTCTGAGCAGTAGTTTTATATCAATAAATGTTTTATTTTAAGTTAAGGTACTGTTTCTAACGCTTTAAAAATGTTTATAACCGTTGCATTTAAAACACAACAATATCTTCTTCATATGAACCCCGTCAGGCACAGAACAACAAAACCAATGACAGTATAGAATTCTTGCAGAGGGTTCTTGGTGTCGCAAATGTTGCACTGCTTGAAATTGACATGGCTTTAATTTCAGCCATTTTGTCACTCTGTGAGCACTTGTTACAAACACTGTTCCGTAGTAGATGTATTTTCCCCTAGTTGTTGCGTCCTTGTCAGGGAACCTAGTGTTAAATGCTCCCAGAACAGTTGTATAAGATTTCGGTGCGAAGTAATATTGGAAAATGAACATAAGTTCTGCTCGAGGATACACCATGTTTGCATCACCACTAGTTCTGAAAGAGCAGCGATCTATGTGAACTTGACTCGATCGCCAAGGGAGTCGTTGGATGACTAACACGAGGGTGGACCAGCTTCTGATTTAATTTTTATAACGTAGTACGTGATTAATATTTCGTTGCGTTTTAAATGCTATATTCTGTAATTAATTTCCTTTGCACATTGTATTCGGATACTCACACGATGGGTTCTGGTAACGTTAGGTTGAAACCACATCCCTCTGTTGAGGTGGGTAACTTGGGATATGACAAGGTGCCGTCAGCGAAAGCCTTTTGTGCTCCAAATACGATCCATCCCATAAAAAGCAAAGAAACTATGCTTCCAATTAGAGCACCCTGAAATAAATATCGAAGTTTACAACTGAAAGTAGGGTTAAAGTTTTCAATCAGTCCTAAAGAAGACACTGTGGACTTACTTTAGAGTTTCCTCGTGGGTAGAACATTCCGAAAGTGAAGAGTCCAAACGATGCTCCGGATGCAACACCGTTCGTACTCATTGCCAGCTGAAAAGTGGATTGACTTGTTAGTAGATAGATGAATGTTGAAATTTTTACATCCTATTTACGTAGCTTTCAAATGGAATTTAGGCCATATTTTAATATGGTTACTTCTGAATTTTTTCAAAATATAGAAATACTTGAGATTTGTAAGCATACCTTGCATATCTTAAAATTTTGCATACCGTGTAGTGTATTAGAATATAAAATAAGCAACAAACAACTATTAACACTATAAAAAAGACTATTGCCATACGCGTTTCAACCTCAAGAGGTCATCATCAGCGGCATCTGGGAAATTAATTCATTTAATCAAATGGTTTAAACTGGATTTAGAAAATAAATAATGAATAGGGTATTTAACTAAAGTATTTTTAGCGACACTGTACTAGTGATTAAATAAATTAATTTCCCTGATACCACTGATGACGACCTCTTGAGGTAGAAACGCGTAAGGCAATAGTGTCTTTTTTATAGTGTTAATAGTTGTTTGTTGCTTATTTTATATTCTTGCATATCTTGTTATCAGGAATGTAAATGATCCAAACGTAAGTTAGGTCTAATTCCATATGACTATACAAAACACTCAAGAACTCAAAAATTATTTTCTGAGAACGTGTAATATTAAGTATAATTTGCAACAATAAATATTATTTGATGCTGATATTAATTAGAATTTTGAGAGAATTTAGTATGAAATCGAGTATTCGTGTCCCATCTCGCAAGCAGAATTCCATATATTTTTTATGTAAGTTTGTATTAAAGCAGCAGTAGTTTTTAACGCATCCGTGATTTAAAAATGGCTATTATTTACAAATAGTCACTCATTTACGTAGGTTCACCTACATGATTTTGTTACTACAGGGTAGGTGGGAAGTAAGTAGGCACTAAATAATTGGTATACATTGAAAATATGGAGGTTATAACCATTTATCGATGCCTACTTACTTCCCACCTACCTGTATATAACCAACTAAATGCCTGTCTGTCTGAATACATAAATCTCATCACCTGACTGACTATGCTTTGACAGACATGGAGCAAGACAGGTGGATATAATAATAAAGAGAACACTTTTACAGTTCACAGTATGTTAATATCGTAGAATTACTTTTATGGGACTAACATGATAATCAAGAACTCGCAAGTAATCTGGTCCCTACTATACATATGCAAGGAGGGTGGGTGCATTGCACCACAGTCTCTGAAAAAATAATATTAACACTATTTATTTGGCATAATGCACATCTTTCATGTAAGTAATGTATATTTGTTTTGTATAGTTTATGTGTAGCCAAAATTCAAAATATCATTTAAATTTTTACTGTCTATTTACTTATACTACTATGTGGTCATTATCCATGCAGTGCATCTTAATAAAAATATATAAAAAAATATAAATTAGACCTCAGTCTGTTTTTGTTATAAAACTTAGATGTTTCTTGAAAATAAACATTTCACTTAATGTTCGGTTTGTACATCTGTAATTGAATATCTCGAAAGCTTCAGTCTTGTTGGAAATAATTTATTCATTTGTCTGTGCACCTACACCTTGGCTGTAAGAAGGGGAAGGACTCTTTTATAGACTGCCTCCTTCTTTCTGGTTTTTAACCACTCACATTCCACAAAACCTCTTTTGTTGCACCACTCCTGCATATAACTGTTCACCTCTGCGACTGTTAGTCAGCTTTCAGAGTTGTTCTAATTTCTGTTCATTTGATGTTGCAAACTCAAAGACGAAAGCAAATTTATGTGCTCTACCAAGTGACATATTTATTAGCTACCAGTACACAGAAGAATAAAAAAACTGCAAAGTGCAAAAAGTTGCACGTACTTGCCTACATATTTTTCTTTTAATATCTCTTTTGATGGATTTATAAGTATGAGTTCTACTTACTTAGAATTGTTAATATAAAATGGTTATCTCACTCTTTTATGCTTGTTTTGATTTTCCCTCAGTGTGATTTCAGGTGAAATGTGTTTTATAAATGCTCCGAAAATGAATGGATGCAAGCAATTTAGACGAAAGAATATTCAAAACACTTAAAATGTGTCTACCTCTTATAATACATAAATCTAAACCAATAATTTTACTTTTGTCCCAGACTGTACTGTATTTACTCCAGAGTCAATAAATGCACAAAAAATTCGATCAAGATCAACGCTTAACATTTCAAGGTTTTTCTTGATGTCAGTATTATCCTTTGGGACACTTGTAACAAACGTTAATGAAGTGGTCTCAAGACTGTATGTAGATTATATGTACTTTAAATTATATAACATGAACTGTTAATGGTTGTAGTTTCTGATATGTTTTCATTTTATTACTTTTTACAGAAATTTTAAATTGCGTGTCATTCAAATTCTGCGTTCCTTAAAACACTGAAATCTAAAAGTACCTTAATTTTTTCACCCGAAGAAATACGAAATAAAAATTAAAACTTTTTATGTAGTCTAATCATAGACGCATTTCATTAAAGGTGATCAATTCCTGTTTGTCATGTTACATAAATTATGGCTGGTAATACCACTTAGATAAAAGCATTACATAATGGATAAGACATATTAAGACAATTTACGTCATGTGACAGGTTTATGTTGCAATTTAAAAGAGCAAGTTTATTATGTGGGTAATTTACATTTCCTCAGATTGCATCACAGATTGCGGTTCTGTCTTATGAAAATACTGACTGACAAAATTAGCAAGTCCAGTTTTATATATGACATGAAATTTGTCACTGAATGATTATGTATGTACAATAACAAATAGTTCTTACGAAGGAAAGATATGTATGGCTGAGTACTGGAGATCAAAAATGCACGACTAGAATCAGTGAGTTACAAAAGGCTAGGCATTGTCTCTGAATCATAATTTAGTTATTCGTTGTAACTGTCTTGAAAAGATGAGAATAACACAGGCGAAGATGGCTGTCTTCTGGGTCGTTGCGCCATGTAGTCTCGCAGAAGTTTGTCGACGTTTGAGAGGTCCTTGCTGCCTCCATCATCAGGGCGATGGAGGCAGCAAGGACATCTGAAACGTCGGCAAACTTCTACCGGACTACATGGCGCGACCCAGAAGACAGCCATCGCCAGACTTACCATAGTGAAAACCTTAATTCCTACAATAACACTGGTGTTACAAAAATCTTTTTGTGGTTCTAATTTTGAGTATCCTTGTAATTTTAATTTCAAAAATGTCTGAATTTGGTGTCGCTTTCAAGTCTGTTCATGTCTGGCTTTATATTTACAAACTCGCTGCTGCTGCTACATAAAACGTACTCCATCTGAAGAAATTCTTGTTTGAAATTTGTACTTGATGTATTAAAATTCTTGTATCAGTTTTTGGTCCATAGAAAGTCAGATTTCGCTCTGCAGCTTATACTAAAGCGGCCCATCCACGTACGAGTCTGACTTGTGATTCTGGCTCGGTGAGCTTGACTTGTGAGCCGGGCTCGGATATATTTCACCACACATGCACAGCAGACTCGGCTCGTGACACCCCACCCACAAACGAGTTTGGCTCAATGGAACCCGAGCCGAGCCAGACTCGTACCCCAAATTAA